TTGCGTAAATGCTTTGCTAAACGATTTTGCTCCTATCCGTGGATGGGATGACATCGATCGTGAAGACGTGTACGAAATAAAAAATTTTCGTGTGAATTCGATGATAGAAGAGAAGAAGATTATTTCATTTTTATTTTCTTATTTATTCTTTTTCTTTTTTCGTTTAACGTAGATACTATATCATTAAAAAGATTTACGAAAAGTTTAACATAAAGAAATTTATGTATCTGTGTCTTCTTTTTATTTCCTTGCCTATCATTCAAAAGAAATAAAAGGAGAATGATAGATGACATTTATTACATCTGTTACAATGTCAGAATTTTGATTAACATTGGTTGGTCGTGTAGTAAAATGAAAATTGATTAGACATAGCAATAAAATGGTCATTCTCGAATTTAAATTTCATACTCGTTTATTTTTATTATTTAACTGATTTCTATAATATGTAAAAGTTACATTTGAATGATAAAAATAAATATTATGGTAATTTTTTATGTTCTTTTGTTCGTTGACATCATTGAATTCAGTTTTCTTTTACAATCAAATCTAAATCTCGTAAAATATCAAATCAGGTTTTATTTTAAAGATCTCCAATACTATAGGTTTTATAAACAAATATTTCTAATAAGAGTTATTACAGTTTAATGTGGAATAATTCAATATATTTAATGGAAAAATTGAGTATATTGTATTCGTTTCATAGAGAACGTTGTTGTCAAGAAGCAAAAAATAAACTATTAGGTTGGCAAGAAGGTAATTTCGGTAGTAAGTAAATATATATATATATATATACATATAATATATAATAATATATTTATTTATAATATAAATCTATATTTATATATTTATTAAATTTAAATTTAAATTTATATTCATATTATTTATAATAATTATATTATTATATTTATTAATATATATTATATATTAATTAATAATATTATTTGGTTGGCAAGAAAGTAATATTTCACACTAAAAAACCGAAATTACTTTCTTGCCAACCCAATATTCTATTTAATGGACTTTGATATTTTAAATCTAACTACAATTGTGTATAAAATATGAATACGAATTCAAACAAAACCTATAATATGTATATAACTTTTTATTACGCTATTAGGGTTAACAAACAATTTGGGTAATCGTGATAACGTATTGATAAGTTTTTTTATTTTATTTATTATATATTTTTATTTGATATATTAGATTTTGTTTATACCTTTGAGTTAACAAGAGGATATTGATTTTAATAAGAGAGAAAACGCAAAAAACTCTTATTGTTAAATGAACATATGGAAAAATGGTCTTCGAAATTTTACTTTGGACTTTGATTTGCTACAGTCTCAATAGGTTTGGATAAGACGATTCATATTTGCTCGATAATTAAGGATGATTCATGAGACGATTAACTGGTGTAAATTAGCATTTCACATCGACACGAAATGGCATACACGTGACGTACCAATCACTGAGGACTAACAAGCGTTGTCCGTAAATTCGAACTGACGCACACTGTTTCCAAATCCCGAAAACAAAATATAAATATAAGGATGTAGTTTGAGGATTTTGGTCATCGTTGATTATTAATTTGATATTATCTTTTTTTTTTTTGAAAAAACAAAATGTCAGTTTTTTTAATTAAAAATTAATTCAATTTTCTGTTAAATTAATATATTTGTTTATCCTCTCTTGCATTTTATACAATAATACTTCTGAGACGATTTGACATACTTTTGTGAAACTAATTTCCATATCAGTTATGTCAAATTTTATTTCTTTTATAATAAAATGCTGTTTTTTATAAATAAAATTTATATCAAAATTTGAAAGTTGAATAGTCTAGAAAAATGTTTCTACGTATAAGCATTTTAAAATACTCTATTATAAGAAAATAATGAATATTTAGTAGGAGTACGAATATTTTAATGACTCACTGTATATATTTTTATAATCGTTGGTCAAAATTCTTGTCGATAAAATATATCAATATTTCCATTGATGTGACAAAAATAGAAAAAGGAAAAGAAAAGATGTATATCAAATTCAAAGTTTTCTTTCTAACGAGTATATTCGATCTTTCTTAACCATTTCTTCTAACATAAGATACAAAAGAAAATTAAGTATTTCGTCGATTAAAAAATTAAATGAATAAACAAATCATGTTCATCCATACGTGATACAACAACACTTTGTTTTGCTTGCGTTATACGACAAGCATATAAGTTACGAAAAGAATAGAGTTAGTTCTAATATTCTCTTTTTTTTCTTTCTATCTTTTAGTGTTTGATCAAATTACAATCGTGACAACGCCATCACCCCATTCGTCTTATTATTATACGCCTCTCATCCAATGCTGATCTTAAAAGTACAAAGCATGTTGGATGAGATTGGAGCGACGAACTTTTATCATTTCTTAATGACGTCACCAGTTAGAATCGAAAGACGGACACGATCATCATCGTTTTGTCGACATCTTTTATAAATCCATATATATATAATACATATTTATATATGCATATATAAACGGTCATGTTCTTCATATTTGTTCTTCGTCTCTTTATGCACAAGAAGAAAAAACATGTGCAAGCTTCGCTTTATCCTAATTAATAATTACGAAGGTTTCATTCAATTTCCTATCCATCGTCGCTGTTATTGCAGCTAATGCGACGGGAGTTTCTTCTGTCCGGTCTGTCCGTCTGTTCATCTCCGTTTCTTCTACCTTCTCCTCCTCCCTCCCTCTCCCTTCTCCTCCTCCTTTTCATCCTCATCTTCATCCTCCTTTCTCGAGAGAAGATTAAGAGTGGCATCGTCCGTGTAAAGAGCTTACATCGACTGATTTATTGGTCATAAAGTTTGGAACTGTGCTATTTCCGTTACTTCTCATCATCTCTCTCACTTTCTCTCTTAAAAGAAAGAGGGAAGAAAAAGAGAGAAGTAGAGAAAAATAAAGAAAAAAAAGAAACTGTTTTTCCGTGCGACAGCACGAGGAGACGAAGTGCTTCTGTCTTGTTTGCTGGTAATGTTGTGTTACTGTTACTGTCCTCCTCCTCCTCCTCCTTCTCCTCCTCCTTCTCCTCCCACCACCACCCGCTCTACCTCCTTCTCCCTTTTCTCTCTGAGCACCCGTACTTCGTCTAGTTTCGTTTCGTCGCGTCTCGTCCCATCTCGTCTCGTCTCGACCGGACTCGACTTGACTCGTTGCGCTGCATTCGGGACGAGTGTTGAAACCAGTCGAGTGACGTCACGTATAATTAATTCTTTGATTCTCCATCTTTACTCCCGTGCACAGCAGCAGCAACAGCAGCAGCAGCAACAGCAAGCACGGCGCGTCATGTGTCGATGTATATATCATTTAGTTCTTCTTTCTCATCATTTTATAATAGAGGTTATATCTCGTCGACTTAGCTTGGATTTAGTTTCTTAGAAATACGACATTCAAATATGAATAATTTTTATCTTTTTTCATTATATATAATTTTCTTTTTCTTTTAATTAATACTTATTTACGATGAGGAAATATTAAATTTGACACAATCATTTTCTCTTTCTCTTTATTTTTCTATTTATAAAAAGTATAACTTACTGTTATTGCTATATTTTTGTCTTATCAAAATAGGACAATATGGCGTTCGATAGAAAGAATGAAAGGACAAAAATAATTACGCATTATAATATGTATTATAAATCATCAGTTTATATTAGATTTTAACTACAGATTCTGTGACAAGAAATAAATAAATTCTAATAAATTCTTTTGTCAAGAATAAAACAATAAAAATAAATAATAAAAAAAAAAAAAACAGTTTTGGTATTCTTATTTTCAAAAATTTGAAATCGCTACAACATATTTGCTACAGATATGTAGTAAATAAGTCTTATCCACTATTATCGCACGGTTACATAAAATATTTAGCTCTTATTAATTTTAATAATAGATATTATTAAAAATAATGACAATTAATAAAAACATAATATATTTTAATATAATAATAACACAATAATAGTCAACGGACTAGCCACGTTGGATTACTAATTACCTTCCATCAGACCAATAAAGTCAAGCAGCGTGGACATGGTTAATGAAATTGATGGGTGATCCGTTCAGAAAAAAAAAACCATGTGCTGTTGACTCCATAGAGAAACGATAAAAAGACACGACCTTGTTATTAGTATTATATAGGTGTTAGAAAGTATTCGTACAGAAGTGATTAGAGCTTGTAAAAGGGAGAGTATAAAAAGACAATCATGACAAATTAACATATTGGGTATTGCATAATAACAAATTCGTATTGGCGCCGCGGGCAAATCATGTAAAATGTTAAACTAGTTTTTATGTACAAGTAAGAAAAAAGGTGTATTAGGGGTGTAGAAATTATTTCAATGGTTAGATTAATAAATACGTTACATCAAAATCGCCATCTTATTTTTGTCAAGAAATTCGGTGGGGTTGCCTGAAGGATGGACAAAACTCATCGAAAATAATGCTTGACTATTTTGAAAAATAACAAATGTATACGATTACTTTATAAACAAATATTAAATTTATTTCTACACCTAATATTTGTTTGTAATAATGATGGCACGTGTTCTATATTATACGAGTCATGAATCGGAACACCTCATTGTCGCATCGTTCCGCTCGTTCACTTATCTTTATTGCCACTGAGCTACAATTAAAATCCCGCAACGTTTCGAAGGTATTACGAGCGTGCCTTACTTACTTTACCTTCTCTTTATCTCTCTCTCTCCCTCCCTCTCTCTCTCTCTCTCTCTCTCTCTTACACGTACACACACAGTCCCCTTTTTATACATTACGACGATTATAGAGTTATTTTTACGAGACGTTTCTAAATATGTGTGTGTGTATTTATGTGCTTATACCGTGTTTAATAGTGTAGGCGTATAATAAGCATATATGAGTATGTATGAACACCGAGCCAAATTATATATTCGTTTGTCTCACTACTACGTACATATGTGCCTTCGCACGAACCTGTTTTTTCTGGTTCCTTTTTTTTTTGTTCTCCTTTTTATGTCTCTTCTTGTGTCATCTCGTAAAACGTAGATTTCTGTGCGACCAACAAATAAAAATGGATCAAAGTTATGTGAAAATCCTATCAACCAACAATAGTTTGAAATTGTGTAAATTTAGTTTAAATCTTTTAATTTTATTTAACACTAGTCCAGTCATTTTGACTGATTGGGCCATTTTAACTCAAAATTTCTACTACATGTAACATTTGTGTTCTGTAAATAATTAAGCGTTTTGTTATTTAAAAATATCTATAAATTCATTTATCTATTAAAATTATTATTGTTAAACATTTTTTGTTATTTTTTAAGAGTAAATAAAGACTGGAAGCCTCAAAAAGCACAATTTTTATACACCAGTCATTTTGACTAGTATGAAGGTAGAGATACGTATACTGAAAATGGTGGTATATTTAGTGTTAAATAAAAAAAAAAAAAAATAAGAAAATAAAACAGCTTTATTTCTATTAGGATAATATTTGATTGTATTTTATTTCTTCGATTAATATTATTTATTTTTTTTAATTCTTTTTATAATATTAAAATAAAATTGTGTATTGATAGTTTTAATTATTGTATAACGTAAGATACGTTCTATGATTTTGTAATTATTTGCAAAACAAAAATTGCAGAATAATTGGTTATCGCTTTTCAGACATGATAAATTTAACTTTATTTGTTATATTTTTTTTTCTTCTATTTTTTTTCTCTTGAAATACCTTCTAAAGTTTATTTTGTAAGATCAAGTATCGCAATACTTGCAAATTTTGTAAGATTAAAAGAAGAAAACTTGAAACATGGAAAATTGGAATAGATTCTGCGAAAAAGTTTCAGTATTTTGAAATAAGAGCAAGTAGAAAATCGATGAAAATGAGTAATGTTAGTAATTGTATGTTGTTTATATATGTTGATATAAAAATATGCACACGTGCGTTAGTTATTCTTACATTTATTTCTTCTTTATTAAGGTTTATCGTCATCAGCGTGTGGCCCATTGTCGTCTTTGTGAAATTCTTGTTATGTGTATGCCGATGAATGTTTAAAATGCTCGCAGTCTATGCATAATAGATCGACACACTTCTTGGCAGACAACCGCCAACGAGACAAACTATACAGGCTAATTCGATCTTATATTTGGCTACTCGAGAAATCGTTAGATTTTCTAGCATCAAAAACATGCAATACATATCTTTCACTTAAAACTAATATTCTTTGATTATTGACTTAATAATATTAGGTCTATATTAATAATTAATGATGTCTTCATATTTAAAGATATGTTTTTGGATTATAATGAAACAATTTTATAAACGTATACAAAAAAATGTTTATAATTATTAATAAGCCTAATAATAATAATAATAATAATTATTATTATTATTATTATTATTATTATTATTATTATTATTATTATTATCATCATCATCATCATCATCATCATCGTCATCACCGTCATCACCGTCATCATTGTTTATACAAATTATGATAAAAGTAGACCCCAGTAGCACAAAATATTGAAAAATGTTGAATATATATGTATTCAATATTTTTCAATATTTTGTGCTCCTAGGGGCCGTTTTTATTTAAAAAAACTTGTTATCGTAATAATTATTAATTATTGTAAAGGGAGGTAGTTGGGAGGAATACAGCACTGGTTTGCCCTCTCTCCGCGATCATAAATATTTCCCTCCCTCGCCTAGACAAGTATATGTACACACACGACACGTATTCACACGATTCAGTACTCCCCAACGCAACTTATTCGCACAAATACTTTAACGCAAGGCAACGCGCTCTTTACCCCCTCCCTTTGCTTATCTCAGTGAGCGGCTAAAAATAGAAGTCGTCACGGCCACCAGCGACATTTTAAAAAGTTAAGGCTGGCTGAACGAGAAAGAGAGAGAAAAAAAGAGAGAGAGAAAGAGAGTTAGCGCCTATCGAGAATAACTCGCTTGACCGGTGGCGCCTCCTCGATGGCGTGTCGTTCACTTGACCTCACTGTTCTTCACCTGTTTCCTCGACCCTCTCACTCTCTTTCTAATTCTTTATTTTTCTCTTTCTTTCTCCTTCCATCTTATGGTATAGTGAACGGCACACCAAGGTACTCGGTCGGTACAACACCGACGCATTTATAAAAGACCGCCAACCTTATTCCTTTGACGTCGAGAGGACGTTTGCGAGGACATTGACTTGCTGCGCGATTTGATTGGTCGACGCTAACATTGGCGCGAAATATTAATTGTTTGAAACTCTTAATACGTTATTATCGATCGATTTTATATGTGAATGAAATTTTGTTTAATTTTTATATATTTAAGATTGTTACTTAGCATGATTTATTAATATTTTTTCCATTTATTCTTTTTATTAAAAATAAAATCTTCACTTAGTTCTATTTGTATAAATGTACGTATAAACGTAGTACATAATCGACTTTATTTTCAATAGCGTTCGATGACGTTGCTTTTCGAGCACAGCAAAAGGGACACTACATGAGTGCACACGACCGAAACCAACTGTTGCTCGTTAACTGCTTGTAATAAAAGAGAGTTAGCTCGTATCTTCGGGAACTATAGCAACAAGCGACAATTGCTTTTAGACGCGCGCTCGTGACCTGTCCTGTAACGATCTTTCGTCTTTCAATCTTTTCCGCTCTGATTCCCCTCTTTAATTGACTAAATACAAGATTATCTTCTTATTTCATTAGAATTTCATTAAATGCGATTCGTTATCGATCGATCGATATTCGAATCTTATTTATAAGAATAGTTATTGATTAACATTAATATTAAAATTTATTATAATCTGTGTGTTTGTAATTCCTTAAAAACAAATATTATTTTTATCCAATTAAAATATGGAAGGCTTGTAATTTTATTATTATTTGATCGAACGTGAAAGTTTAGCCTACAATACTTTAAAAGAGTAAAAGAAAGAGAAAGAAGATTAATTAACGACTGACGTAAAGTATTGAGTTAGAAAGAAGGAAATTGTAAAATTAGTCACATTAGAGATGCATACGGATCAATTATATAAAACTTCACCCTGATTGGACAAAAATAGTAGGAGATCTGATTGTTGTAGGAGTTAGTAATTGGAGAAATTACGAATACCGAGATTAAAGCTTCTAAGATTTCACTATAACTACAATTTAATTTTGTTTTAACTGTGACGTCATGCGTGACGAAGGAAAATAAATATGCACTTACATTTTTTTTTAAACGTACAATATATATGCAATTCGTTACATTGTACATTAAAAATTGTCTATAATTATTTCGAGTGAAATTATCAAGAATATTGTTCTAAATAATTTCATTTTAATAATTAGAAATTTACAGTATACGTATGCATATGCAAACATTTCAGAAATAAAAATTTTATCCCCCTCTAATACTTTTTTTTATTGTTATGTTGGCGTTCCAAACGAATTATATTCTTACATTGAAGGCTTCTATATCTAAGTCTAAAGCTATACGCAAAAAATTGCATACGACCACATTCCACTTAAGACTCAAAATTATTATTATTACAGAAGTATCTTTGTGATAATTTGCAATTTTCTATTCACATATATGCAACTAAATATTTAAAAAAAATAAGAATCCTACTCTCCCACATTTTTAATTTTACTTTTATATTGGCGTTCAAAGTCTAGAAATTTTCCACTTTAATTTTTCATAACTTACCATTTACGTATATGCAAGCATTAAATAAGAATCCTGTTTCTTTTTAACAGATTTTTGTTTTTTATATAGATGCCCCAAACCAATTAAGCTTAAGTTTATAGTTTACAGCCTTTTCTACATATTTTGTTAAACATTCCAAGAGTACGCCATTGCTTTCTCTGTGGCGGATGCGCAGCGCGTGCGACATCCTTAACAATTTATATTGATGGACCACGCCTACTCGTTTGGACCATCGAGCAACGATGCGAATGGACGAACGCTGTTTTCTCCCTCTCTCTCTCTCTCTTTCTTTTTCTTTCTCTTTTACTCTCTTATTTATTCGAGAATTCGTCATTTCTCTTAGCGATAGCGATCGAAATATCTTTGTCGATCTTAAATCGTCCTTTCAAGCATATGCTAAGATTACAATCGTATAATTACGTTGTAAAGCATGATTTATCGTAACTCGACGAAGTATCACGGTACGGAAATAATACTAGAAATTCTTTTATATTTCTAATCTAAGCTAACCTTACCTAATGATTTAACTACGTATTCTCCTCGAGTAACGATAATAATTTATTGTTGATACCTAGCAAGAGAGGATTCCCTTGAAATTTTTTTAATCGTTATTCTTTATTTATATTCCTCGTGATATATTATAAAGGAAAAAGAAAAACAAAGATGCACAGTTGTTGTTTAAAGTTAATTGTTATTAATTACCGGAAGAGAGAGAGAGAGAGAGACAGACAGAGAGAGAGAGAGAGAGAGAGAGAGAAATATATAGAATATATCACTTGTTTAGAATCATTTTTTCGATATTTTATTACAATGAAAATTGCAATCTGTTTTTATTATCGACTTAGATTTACAACGTTCGAAATTAACAGTATTATTTATTTTTTAAATTCAGTACAATTTTATAGGAAATATAAAAAACATAAGTATTATAAACGTTTGTTCTAAGATATTCTGTAACTAAATCACTTAAATGTTTTAATCACTTAAAAATATTTCTTCTTTCTTTTCTTTTCTTGCACAAATGGAAACGTTTAACATTTCAAAATTTATTTTTATTGTAATGCATAATACGTTACATCTAATTAAATATTAATTATAAACACAAATGTATTAACTTTATAATTATTTATTTTTCATTATTTATTTTCAGAGTTTTTTGAAATCTATAATACTGAATCATTCTCTATAAGAAATATTTAAATACTCTAGAGTAGCACAAAATATTGAAAAATATTGAATACATATATATGTGTTTATTATATTAAATACATATATATTTATATATATGTATATACATATATACATATGTATCATATATATATTTTGTATATATATATATACAAAATATTATATTTATATATTAAATACACATGTGTTCAATATTCTTCAATATTTTGTGCTCTATTAGGGATATATTATTGTAGTATAAACAATATCAACAATATTTACGTAGAAATCAAAATGAAGGATAAAATATAACAAATTCTATTAAAATTAACGCGACTTTCGAATATGATGTCGTCGTTTTAAGTTTTACCTAACCGCGTTATTATTCTAATGGATAAAAATGTTAATATTTTTATCTTTATGTATTTATAAAAGGAAAGCCATAATTGCAAACTTAGAGAAAATTAAATATCATCAATAGAAAAAGAAAAAAAAACAAATGAAGGAGAGAGAGAAAAAGAGAGGAAAGGCTGAAGATAGAAAGGCGCATTAGTTATCACGACATGATCGTCGTCATTCCATGAATACAATGGCCGTTGATTCGTTTGATCGTGTCAGCGTGATCTTACATACAATTGATTAGTTCGATGACCACGTTAAATAGGTAACGGTTGCGTGATCCGCAAACGCATTCTTTTCGATTTCTCTTTTATAGAACAGGAAGAAGAAAGAAAAGAAAATCTTTTATCGATTCAACAAACGTTTATCTCTCTCTCTCTCTCTCTCTCTCACTCATCATATTTCAATTAACCCATTAGTTGCCAAGATCCCCATTTGGGGATTTTGCTATTTTACGTATACCACTCGGCGCCAAAAATATATTTTGTATGCCTGACTGTTTTTTTGTTTCATTCTATATATATCAGTCAGTATTGCGGGTGGCGGAAAGTATGTATTCTGTGCTTCATTTTGTTACAACAAGCGTACAAATTTGAAATTCGTCTGTAAGTTAAGCGGAATAGAATTGTCATACTTGAAACATTATATTTTTGGTGTGATTTTTATATTATAATGAAATACCGTGGATAAATATGTAATTTAGAGGTTATAGTAACGATCTGTTACTTACTCAATCTTCTGTTTTTTATTGAAATGATTTTATTGATCATTTTATATCGATACCCATTTGGGGATTATGGCTGATATAAAGTTTCTTTTTCTCTCTCATAGGGTTTATTTTTATTTGATGAGAGATGGATACTAGGAAGTTTTTTACGCTTGCTGAATTAGAAGACGCTGTAGATGACCCTAATTTATTTGAAAGTGATGATGATGGTGCTACTGTTGATATTGTTGAACTTCCTCCTGGGAACAGTTCGATCAAATCGTCTAAACAAGTGCCCTATAAAATC